GGGGGCCGTCTGTGGGGTCCCTGACTCCTCGTCTGCACAGCATTGAGGGTAATGCTGGGGAGGCGTGCTGCAGGCCTGGTGGCTTCGTTTTCTGGCCCATTTCTGTGGTTCTGGTCGAGCTCTGCCAGAGGCCCGTGGTCCTTCAGGGACGTGTGGAGAAGCTGCTGGGAAGCTCCGCAGCCGTGTGCTGGGACGATGGCCTGTCCTCACCCTGTCACCTGCCCAAATGGGGATGGTTGGGGATTATTCTGTCTTCAAAGTGTTCGGTGCTGTGGCTGAATTCAGGGGGCAGGGCCCATGTGACTGTAAGGTTGTGTGTGCATATATTTGGGGGGGGGGTCTGTGTGTACCATGTAGCTGTGTACACAGCCTCGCTGGCTACCCGGTGGCCTCGGCACCCACGCCCTGGTTGTTAGGACTTGTCCTGCAGCCCTTCCTGGGAAGCCACACCCCCCCAGGGCGGGGGCTCCCTCCCCCCGGGATGTCCACTCCACCCAAGGGCAGGTGGTCAGCGTTGTGCTGTGGGAACCGCCCCCCCCCCTCCCGCCTCTTCGCAGTGCAGGGCTCTGCCCATCCTGATTCCCAGAGCCACGTGCGGCTCTTTGGCCCCTTGAGTGTGGCTCTTCCACAAAATCCCGACTTCTGCGCATGGGCCACAAAGTTTCAATCGCACTGTACGTGCGCGCCCGCACGTGGTATTTTGTGGTACACCGTAGGCAGACCAAGCCCCAGTTGCTGGGGGTCCCCAAGGCTGCTGTTCCCGTGACGCAGCTGGGGCCTCTGGACTCCTGGCCGGTCCTGGGGCCTGCATGGGGCCTGGTCCTGGCCGGCAGCCTTGCTCCCTTCGATGTGGGCCTGACCCGAGGCGTCACTGTCCCTTGGGCCTGCTGGACGTGGGGGCCAGGTGCAGTCCGGCAGAGCCCACTGCCCATGTGAACAGTGGGACGCCTCAGAGGGGCCGGGCCCGGGGGCCTCTCCACAGGTCCCTGTGCCCATGCCTGCTCCGCCCCCTTTCCCCCCGCAGGCATGCGCATCCTGGTCACGCTGCTGCTGGACACGCTGCCCATGCTGGGGAACGTGCTCCTGCTCTGCTTCTTCGTCTTCTTCATCTTCGGCATCGTGGGCGTCCAGCTGTGGGCCGGCCTGCTGCGTAACCGCTGCTTCCTGGACAGCGCCTTCGTCAGGTGCGAGCCCCCTCCACCCCCAGCACGTCGGGCCCCGGCAGGCTCTTCTGAGCCACCTGCCCACAGAGGCGCCTCCCAGCCCCGCCCCCAGCAGGTGCCTTGGCACCGGCCCCAGGGGCACGCCCTTCCGGGAGGACCTCCAGCTGGGACCTGGGTTCTGGTTCTGGGTCTCTGGATCTCTTATCTTTGTTTCTATGTCTGTTACTGTCTCTCATTTTCTGTTTGTCTTTCTTTGTCTCTGTATCTGTTTGCTCGCCCCCCTTCTCTCATTGTTTCTTTGTATCTCCCACTGTCTACCCCCCTCCCCGCCTCCCTTCCCCTCGCTCTCTCCCCGTGCCCCTCACCGGGCCGCCTGCCCCCAGGAACAACAACCTCACCTTCCTGCGGCCGTACTACCAGACGGAGGAGGGTGACGAGAACCCCTTCATCTGCTCCTCGCGCCGAGACAACGGCATGCAGAAGTGCTCGCACATCCCCAGCCGCCGTGAGCTGCGCGTGGAGTGCACGCTGGGCTGGGAGGCCTACGGGCAGCTGCAGGCCGAGGGCGTGGGCGGCGCCAGCCACAACGCCTGCATCAACTGGAACCAGTACTACAACGTCTGCCGCTCCGGCGACTCCAACCCCCACAACGGCGCCATCAACTTCGACAACATCGGCTACGCCTGGATCGCCATCTTCCAGGTGGGCACTGGCTCTAGACTGCGTGGCCTGTGGCCTTTGTTTGCCCACCATGTTGGGTGCTGAGCGTGCCCTGGGGAGGGGGTGCCCAGGCAGGGCTTGCTTGCCCTACCAGCCCTTCAGCCGGACCCTAAGGGAACACAGGCCACACACACCCTCCCGGGGCCATCTGTGTGTCCAGCCACCTGCCCCCCCCCCCCCCCCGACAGGGGATCACGCTGGAGGGCTGGGTGGACATCATGTACTACGTCATGGACGCCCACTCCTTCTACAACTTTATCTACTTCATTCTGCTCATCATCGTGAGTACAGGGCGCGGGACGTGTCCCGGTTGGCTGGGCAGGACTTTCACAGCTGAGGGTGTTGGAGGGTGGAGGTGCCTCTGAGTCTTGGCAGCTAATCTCAGACCCTTAGCTCCTTAGTGGATGTCGTTCTGGCCCCAGGGTCCATTCATGAGCCTCCTTATGCCGCCAACATGCACCCTCCCAGCCTTCGCTCTCCCTCGTGGGTCCCGGCATTGGCGGAGCTATGAGGTGGGGCAGCAGAGGCCCAGGGCTCTGTGCAGCCCCCGGTGGGAGGAAGTGGAGGTGCGGGAGGACAGAAGCCAGTGTGGGCGGGAGGGGGAGCCCACCTCCAGGAGCCCTCAGGCAGCGCCCCAGGCTCTCCACAGCCAGGTTCTGTCTGAAGGTTGCAGAAGCATCAGGACTCCGCACGTGGACACGAGCTCCCAGGCAGGGCCTTCCACAGTGCGCGTGGCCCCGCGTGTGGCCCTCGCTTGATCCGGGCAGGTCTGCGAGGACCCAGGAGTGAACACAATAGGCAGGTGTCTCAGATAATTGCCATGAGCAGGAGAGAGTGTCACACGGTGACCATGTCACAGAAGAAGGCCAGGGTGGCCATAGTCTAGAGCAGCGGTTCTCAACCTGTGGGTTGCGACCCCTTTGGCGGTCGAACGACCCTTTCACAGGGGTCGCCTAAGACCATCCTGCATATCAGATATTTACATTACGATTCATAACAGTAGCAACATTACAGTTATGAAGCAGCAAGGAAAATAATTTTATGGTTGGGTCACAACATGAGGAACTGTATTTAAAGGGCCAGAAGGTTGAGAACCGCTGGTCTAGAGGGTCTCGTCAGGGACAGGTATGAGGAGGAGGGTCTCCCCCGTGGCCTCCCTCTGTCCACAAGTAGATGAGAAGCACCTGCTGTGAACCGCCTGTCCCAGATGCTGGCACAGCATCGAGTCAGAAGGGACCCCACCCATCATGGGGCGCCCCACTGGCCACACTCAAGGCCATACTCCCGGCCCCTGGAATGGGCGGCACACAGTAGGCCTCAGTATTTCTCTCATCAGGGACTCACTGTTGACTAGAAACCACAGCCGCTGCCTGGCCTCCGGGGCAGATGGGTCTCCGTGTCCCCTCTTCCCCAGTTCCCTGGGGCACACAGCCTGGTGAGCGAGGCTCTGGACGGGCTGTCGGAAGGCTCAACACCGCCCGCCCGCCACAGGTGGGCTCCTTCTTCATGATCAACCTGTGCCTGGTGGTGATCGCTACGCAGTTCTCAGAGACGAAGCAGCGGGAGAACCAACTGATGCGGGAGCAGCGCGCCCGCTACCTGTCGGACGACAGCACGCTGGCCAGCTTCTCAGAGCCAGGCAGCTGCTACGAGGAGCTGCTCAAGTACGTGGGCCACATCTGCCGCAAGGTCAAGCGGCGCAGCCTGCGCCTCTATGCGCGCTGGCAGAGCCGCTGGTGCCAGAAGGCGGACCCCAGCAGCCCCCTGCACGGCCAGGGCCTCGGGCACCCGCCGCGGCGGGCAAGCAGGCGTGCGGCCTCCATTCACCATCTGGTCTACCACCACCACCACCACCACCACCACCACTACCACTTCAGCCACAGCAGCCCACGCCGGCCCAGCCCTGAGCGAGGCACCAGAGACACCAGTCTGGTCCGGGCTAGAGCGCTGCCCTCACCACCCTCGCCCAGCCCCGGGCCGCTGGATGCCGAGTCGGTGCACAGCGTGTACCATGCGGACTGCCACGTGGAAGGGCCGCAGGAGCGGGCTCAGGTGGTACAGGCCGCGGCCACCGCCGCCAGCCTCAAGCTGGCCATGGGGCTGGGCACCATGAACTACCCCACCATCCTGCCCTCGGCGCCTGGTAGCGGCAAAGACGGCACCAGCCCCAGGTCCAAGGGGAAGCGGGCCAGTCGGCCACCAGGGGCCGGAGGGCACAGCTCCCTCAGCCTGAGCAGCCACGACCCCTATGAGAAGATCCAGCATTTGGTTGGGGAACATGGTAAGGACCTCGCCCTCTCCTGTGTGTGTATGTGTGTGTGCGTGCGTGTGTGCGCGTGTGTATGCATGCGTGTGTGTATGTATGTGCGCGTGCACGCGCGCGTGCACATGTGTGTGCGTGCGTGCGTGTGTGCGCGCGCGCGCGCGCGTGCCCTGGAAGAGGGGAGGGGCTCTGGCACCTCACACCCTTACACGGCCAGGAGGGGAGAGAGGGCACCCCTTTGTCCACCCGTGGTAGCCCCAAGCAGCCAGTGGCTCAGTGGACCATGAGCGTTTGCCACATGGATGAGAATGCTGAAGGTGGCAGAGTATTGCCCCCACCTCGCCCCAGGAGGGACCGTCTGCCCATGTTCACAGCCCGGCAACTTCTGAGGCGTGGCCAGCCCCACATCTGGGTCGGGAGACTGAGGCAGGGGGGTGGAGAGGAGTGCAGGTTACAGAGCCACGAAGGGTTTTTTCCCACCTGGCACCTCTGCTTCACCCACCTCCCCACCTCGGATGGGTGGTTGAAGGAGAGACCCCGGGCCCCGTACAGATTATCAGGCTCTCCCAGTGGTGTGTGCAAGTGTGTAGACCACGGTGCACCTGGAGCAGGTGGGGGCGTGGGTGGGTCATTGTGTGTGCCCTCAATCGCTGTGCCCGGGCTGTGAGAGCCAGCATGCCACGGCGCACATGCTTCTAGCCCTGCACTAACCATTGGACGGCCCCAGCCTCGTGGGCCCCTGAGCGGCAATGAGTCCAGGCCACAGCTTTGGGTGCAGAGTGTACCTGGGTCCCAGAAACTGAGCCCTCACCACCCTCAGGTGCGGAAGGGGTGCGCAGTGCTCTTCAGTCACTCTCACGTCTGGTCCACGTTGGAGCGATGATGGTTGAGGTGTTCATCTCACCTTTCACACGGCTGCTAAAGAGTAGCTCATGTTACATTTCTGGATGATGTGGCCGTAGCACAGCTGAGCTTCTCTGCCCCTCTGTGTCCCTGCCCCTGTGTGTGTGCACAGAGCACCCCTGTCCAGGGTGTACATGAGTGTGCCCAGGTGTATGTGTGTGTTCCTAGGTGTGCACATGAGTGTTCCAGGGAAGCGTGTGTTCCCGAGTATGAGTATGCCCAGGTGTGCACGTTCACCCTACAACAGCCTCTGTGGGCGTGGGCCCACCCCAGCTGTCACCGCCGAGTGGCCTGACCCTGCCTGTACCCTTCACCCCTCAGGACTGGGCCAGGCCTCCAGCCGCCTGTCAGGCCTGAGCGTGCCCTGCCCCCTGCCCAGCCCCCAGGCGGGCACGCTGACCTGCGAGCTGAAGGACTGTCCGTACTGCGCGAGCGCCCTGGGAGACCCCGAGTTTGAGTTCAGCGACTCGGAGAGTGGAGACTCGGACGGCAACGCGGTCTATGAGTTCACACAGGATGTGCGGCACGGGGACCACCGCGACCCCATGCAGCCGACCCCAGTGGCCGGCACACCAGCCCAGGGCAGTGTGCGGAGGCGGGCACAGCAGCGGGTGGCCTCTGGCAAGCCTGGTGGGCTCGGCCACGTGTGGGCTACCGTCAGTGGCAAACTGCGCAGGATCGTGGACAGCAAGTACTTCAACCGCGGCATCATGATGGCCATCCTCACCAACACCCTGAGCATGGGCATTGAGTACCACGAGCAGGTGGGTGGGCGCGGGCATACCTGCCCCCTGGGAGTCGTGGCTGTTGTCATGACCCCTGGGGAGCATGTTCCTTGTGTGTCTCCCAATTGTAGCCTCTTGGGGACCCACATTAGGTTGTGGAGGTTGGGGGACAGGGGGCGTTGGAGCCAGATGATGTTTATCAGTTACTCAGCAAATGCTCCTCCTCCTCCTGGGGCCGGGTCTCTGCTGAATGGTGCACACAGACACCGTGGCTCCCGCCTGGAGTCGCTCTCACCTGGGGTGGGGGGTGGAGACCACCCAGACCCAGAGGCCGTGGGGGCTGAGGGTGGTTACAGGTCATGTGGTGGCTCTTCTCAGGACGGTACCCAGCCCAGTTCTTGCAAAGAGGCCCCCCCTTACCTGAGCCAGACCCACCGGCAGCACCCGATGGGGTGCCTCTTGGTGACCAGAATAGGTGGGGATGTGGCTGGCCCCAGGAGGAGGAATTGTGGGGTGTCCCGCCCCCCAGTTGACCCTGCACTGGGCAGGACAGGGACACACCAGGGAGGGCAGCGGCGGGTTTGGCAGGAGACGGTGTCCTCTCAGGACCAAGGTCCACTCACTTCTAACGACCAAATCGACTTCCTCATCTCCTGCCCATTGGTCCTCTCACGCCACGTAAGCCATTTCCTTTCATCCTGGAGCAATTTAGGGGAAATCCTAGCGGTGTCAGCCGTGAGCAGGCCCAGGCGGGAGGTGCTTGTTGTGAGGGTGAGATCCAGGCCAGGGGGAGCACCCCTGCACGGAGGAGCCTCCGCCACACGTGTACACAGTGCATACACAGGTACACAATCATACATGTCCACATGTCCACAGATGTACATATGCAAGGCTTACCCATACAGATGTGAACATGTGTACAGACCTGTAACCATGTGCACGTGTGTAGCACATTTTCAGGCATTCACACATAAGCAGGTCACTGGTACATATACAGATACACGCACACACATGCAAGCATTTACACTAGCACAGGTGTACACGCACATACATGCTGGTGTACACACACAGGCAGGATAAAATGTCCTCAGTACGGTGGGCCTCTGGGGCCTTCTGCCAACAAGGAAGGGTGTGTAAGGGCTCCAGAGACTGGGCCAGCTTTCGGAAGCACCCTTACTTTTACTGTCTACACCCCCATGCCCACCCTGAACCCTGGACAGGTACTCCAGGCCCTGTTCCCCGGGAGTCTTCAGAGCCCTAAGGCACCGACATTCTGGTGGGAAGGTCAGGAAGGACCAGGGGGCCCAGCCAGAGGGAGTGACAGAGGGAAGGCCGGATGGGCCAGGGTCCAGCTGGAGAGGCTACCCCTGGGGCCCAGCTGCCTCCTTCAGACGGCCGCCGATAGGTTCCTACGACGCCTGCTGTGGCCTCTGGGCCCGTGGCCCCTCGATGCAGCCTTACCTGCTCCCCGTCTGTGGGGGCAGTGGCCCTCCCCTGATGGTCCTGCTGCTGCCCACAGCCGGACGAGCTGACCAACGCCCTGGAGATCAGCAACATCGTGTTCACCAGCATGTTCGCCCTGGAGATGCTGCTGAAGCTGCTGGCCTGCGGCCCGCTGGGCTACATCCAGAACCCCTACAACATCTTCGACGGCGTCATCGTGGTCATCAGGTGGGTCCCCGCTTCCCGCCCGGCCACGGGGTTCCTGGAGGCTCCAGTGTCGGAGCAGAGCCCCAGCCAAAGGGAGCGGCACCGCTCGCAGTGTTTTCTGGCGGCTACGGAGACGCTCAGTAGAGTCCCTTCCCGTAGGCACTGCAGGGTACACACACTTAGGTCAGCTGCATGTCAGGCGTATGTTTCTAGAATCTACCGGAGCTGTTCCTTTCAGGCATAGAGTGAGTGTTCAGGGTCCTTCCGCCTCCTGCCTGGCCTCTGTTAGGGCTCAGCCTGCGAGAAAGCCAACCTCCTTTGCAGTGGCTGCTGCAGCAAAGGCCACACAGAAAGGAGCAGGAGACTCTGGGGAAAGTTTCTCCCCAGGAGGAAGTGAGGCCCTTGGGAGTCAAGGGGTTCCCACCCCAGCGGGAGGGAGGGGGGGATGTTGAGCCAGGCATGGCTGTGGAAGGCGCAGGATGGGAAAGCCCTCGGTTGAGAAGCGTCTGTCCGGGCCAGAGCCAGGGATGGCAGCTAGTTCGTTGTCTTCAGAGATGTTGCCACAGCCCCTCAGCCCCTCTGGGCACCGTGATGCAGCCAGACCTGCTGTTCAACCCGGGGTTGAGTGCAGGCCACGGTGGCTCCCAGGCATTCCTGCTTCCAGGAAGAGGAAGTTGGGAGGCAGGGTAGTGCAGGGATCTGCAGTCAGAGGATGGCACCTCCTGACCCTGGGCCTGGCCCGCAGCGTCTGGGAGATCATCGGGCAGGCGGACGGCGGGCTGTCGGTGCTGCGGACCTTCCGGCTGCTGCGGGTGCTGAAGCTGGTGCGCTTCATGCCGGCGCTGCGGCGCCAGCTGGTGGTGCTCATGAAGACCATGGACAACGTGGCCACCTTCTGCATGCTGCTCATGCTCTTCATCTTCATCTTCAGGTGGGTCCCTCCCCCCCACCCAGAGGGGGACCCCTCCCTGCTGCACTGGCCTTGTGCTCCTGGCTTTGGGGCTGTGGGGTGGGGGCAGCGGGAGCCTCAAAGGTTCTGCAGAAGCCCAGTAGCTGGATGCCTTCCATGTGCAGGTGTGAGTCACGTGAGACCGGGCTGGGCTCTGCTCTCGTGGGCTCACAGCTGAATGTGGGGACAGGACGGACCGCCGGATGGATAGATTGAGGACTGAGCCGAGAGCAAGGGGACCGGAGAAGGGGCGGGGGCAGCCAGGCTGGAGTTCATCATTTGTTGAGCACCTGCTGTGCCAGCCTGGCTGGGACTCGGGGAGAGGCTGGGGTGGAGAGCAGCCCAGGCAGGCCAGGTGAGGCAGGCAACCCAGGTCCCAGCCCCTGCCTGGAGCCAGAGCAGTCTCTGGTTGTCCTTCCCTCCCCTGGCCTTGGTCTTCCCACCATGAACATCCCCAGAAACCAGGAAGCAGGGGGCCCAGTGGAGGGAGGCCTAGAGGAGCAGCTGCTGGGTTTGAAGGTGAGCAGGCAGAGTGGCCTCACCCCCTCCGCCCCTCACTCCTACCTCCCACCCTCAGCATCCTGGGTATGCACCTCTTCGGCTGCAAGTTCAGCCTGAAGACAGACACTGGAGACACGGTCCCTGACAGGAAGAACTTTGACTCCCTGCTGTGGGCCATCGTCACCGTGTTCCAGGTACAGCCTAGGCGGGGCTGCCCCCTGGTGTCAGCGCGTGCGTGGCCTGTGTGAGGCCGGAGCAGCTGAGCTGTGAACAGCAGGGGCAGCGATGCCGTCCCCTGGGTGGTGGCCTGTGTTCTCGCCGGTGCAGAGCTCCTGGTTCTGAGGAGTTGCCAGCATGTCCGGGGGGGTGGGGGGTGGTTCACCCCCAGTGTCCCCTCTCTCCCCACCGCGTCGCCCCTCCTCGGGCCTGCTCCCCCCCCTCTGCCTCCCTGCCCTTCTCCCCAGATCCTCACCCAGGAGGACTGGAACGTCGTCCTCTACAACGGCATGGCCTCCACCTCCTCCTGGGCCGCCCTCTACTTCGTGGCCCTGATGACCTTTGGCAACTACGTGCTCTTCAACCTGCTGGTGGCCATCCTGGTGGAGGGCTTCCAGGCGGAGGTGAGGGGGCTTCCAGGAGGTGGGAGCCGGCGCAGACTGACACGGGAGGCCTCCGTCCTCTCCCCTTGTCTCACGGGCCTTCCTCACACCCACCGCCACACCAGCCCTACCTCCCCGTGGGGGGCTCCAAGGGGGTGCTGGGCACAGATGGCTCCCCCTCAAGGGGAACCTCACACCTGCCTCTGCTCTGTGGGGCCCAGGGCGACGCCAACAGGTCTGACACGGACGAAGACAAGACGTCCACTCACTTGGAAGAGGATTTCGACAAGTTCAGAGACCTCAGGGCCACAGGTATGTGGGGGGTGATGGGGGCAGGATGGAGGGGGCAGGGCAGGCAGTGCCTGTTCTGACCTGGCAGAGATGGGGCTCCCGGGGGCGACTCCCATGGGCAGCTTCCCCTTCCCGAGAGCCCCGTAGGCACTGGTGGCCTCTCCCCCTCCAGAGATGAAGATGTACTCCCTGGCCGTGACCCCCAACGGGCACCTGGAGGGCCGGGGCAGCCTGCCCCCTCCAGTCATCATGCGCACAGCGGCCACGCCCATGCCCACCCCCAAGAGCTCCCCCAACTTGGACACGGCCCATGGCCTCCTGGACTCCCGGCGTGGCAGCAGCAGCTCCGTGGACCCTCAGCTGGGGGACCAGAAGTCTCTGGTAGGGACTGCCCCCTGCCCGGCCTCAGGGCACCTTCAGGCTCCGTGCACCCAGTTCCTCATGGCCTTCCCCAAAGATGAGTGAGGGTCCCACATGCCTGTCTCCCCCCGCCTCCCCCGCCCCATTATTGCCTCCTGAGCCCCGGCCCCGAGTGCTTAGATTTCTGTAAAAGAAGCAGGAGTTGCTGTGCTGATGGGAGGAGCATAGAGACCAGGCATGGAAACGCGTGTTTGATCCTTTTCCTCTGGTAAAATGTCAGGCAGGAAGTTTATCTTCCAAATTGCAATAAAAGGAAAGCTGCAGAGCGTAGGTCAGAAGGAGAAAACAGGAAAGAGACTGCAGAAGCGTATGAAAACAGCACACAACACACGATGAGGCCAGGGGGAGGGTCCTGTGTGTCAGAATCAAGTGTCCCATGGGGGCTTTTCAGACAAACCAGGAAATGCTGTCCCCAGGGACACCGCCAGAATGGCTTTTCGGAAGGCCCGGGTGGGTGGGCAGAGCAGGACGAGCTGACAACAGAAGGGGCGTGGGGTCTGGAGCAGAGGAAATCTTCCTGCGGGTGACAGGACGAGAACCCGGGTGGGCCAGGTGGGCCAGGCGACTCAGCTACAGGAGCACTGCAGCCCTGAGGGAGGTGGGCGGGAGCGCTGGGCAGCATTCAGTCTCAGCCATGCTGGACCCCGGAGGTGACGAGTCCCGGCAGAGGATGGAGGATGGGCGCAGCAGGTAAGTCCCTGAGTCGAGGTTGGCTTATCTAAGACATCCGCCGAACTTCTCTTTACAAGGCCAGAGTCTGCCAATTAGTAACTGCTCTGGGGCCCCACCCCAGAGATCAAGGTCAGCTGGGACGCTGTCTGAGGATGGTCAAGGGCTGGTCCCAGGCCCGCTGATGACCTGCACCTGCCCGTCCGTCCTCCAGCAGGCACAGCGGCCAGCCCAGGGGAGGCCTGCTCAGCCCTAACACTTGCTGGCTGCATCTCCAGCTCTTTGCTAACTGCTCTGCACTCGGGCATGCCCTGGAATAGCGGTGTTGCTAGCCTCTCCCTGGCAGGATGGTTGGCATGTATCATCCCACTCACAGGTGTTAATAGTGATGGTGGTGATTCAGGAACAAATCCCACCCATGGAGCAACCGGGTGGGGAAAGGCTCCTGTGTCTGGGTGCCCTGGAGCCTGGGCTGTTTAGGGGTACTTGAGGACTGGCCCTCCTCCCTTCTTCCCCCTCCCCTGCAGTCCAGCGTCCGCAGTTCGCCCTGTACCCCCTGGGGCCCCAATAGCGCCTGGAGCAGCCGGCGCTCAAGCTGGAACAGCCTGGGCCGCGCGCCCAGCCTCAAGCGCCGGAGCCAGTGTGGGGAGCGGGAGTCCCTGCTGTCGGGCGAGGGCAAGGGCAGCACAGATGAGGAGGCTGAGGACGGCAGGCCCAGGGTGGGCGCCTCGCCCTGCACACGTGCCACCCCGCTGCGGCGCACCGAGTCCCTGGACCCCCGCGGCGCGCTGGACACGCAGCCCCTGCGGCCGGCCACCCTGCTGCCCACCAAGCTCCATGACTGCAACGGGCAGATGCTGGCCCTGCCCAGCGAGTTCTTCCTGCGCATAGATAGCCACAAGGAGGACCCAGCCGAGTTTGACGACGACATGGAGGATGTGAGTGGACGTCGGGGCACCTGCCTCCCTCCTGTCGTGGGCTGGTTCCCGGAGCAGAGCCTGAACATCATTCATGGCGGTGGGGGTCAGGGGGGGTCCTCAGAAGAAAGGGGAGAACGTGGGCAAGCTGAGCTGGACCTGACCCAGCTAACGGGCCTCGAGAGCTCTGCAGCGGGACTGGCCCCAGGGTCAGGGTCAGCCCCACCTCCAGCTGAGGGCCATTTTGAGCCCTGAGTTAGCAGCTGCTGCTGGGCTTTCCAGGGTGGAGGAGAGGACAGGGCCACCTTCTCAGTGAGGCGTTCACCCCATTGCCCACAGGCAGGGGGCAGCTGGGGGGGGGCGCGGTCTGAGCTTGTCTATTTACCTGGCCCCGTGGGCTCCCAGCATGGGTCACTCACCCTGTGCCTGCCCGTGTGGGAGGGTGGGCTGGGACCCCAGGGTGGAGAGCCGGCTGGGAGAGGCTGGGACCCTCCTGAGGACCTGCACCCTCTCCCAGAGCTGCTGCTCACGCCTGCGCAAGGTGCTGGAGCCCTACAAGCCCGAGTGGTGTCGGAGCCGTGAGCCCTGGTCGCTGTACCTGTTCTCCCCGCAGAACAGGTAAAGGGGGCCCTGGGTGGGAGAGACATCGCCCTTTTGGGTCCCCAAGTTTCCCAGAGGTTAGTGAGCTCCCTGGGCTTCAGGGTCGCAGGGCTCTCCCCGGGCCCCTCACCCAGCGCCCTCACCCAGCGCCCTCGCCCCCCAGGTTTCGTGCCTCCTGCCAGAAAATCATTGCTCACAAGATGTTTGATCACGTCGTCTTGGTTTTCATCTTCCTCAACTGTATCACCATCGCCCTGGAGAGGCCGGACATCGACCCAGGAAGCACGGTGAGGCCCCTTCTCCTGGGGAGGGGCGGGTCTCCTGGGTGCGGCCGGCCCCTCTCACCGCCCTGTTCCCGCAGGAGCGCGTCTTCCTCAACGTCTCCAACTATATCTTCACGGCAATCTTCGTGGCTGAGATGACGGTGAAGGTACCTGCCCCTCAGGAGAGCCCTGGGGTCTGTCCTCGGGCCTCACACCCCCTCCCTGCCCAGCAGCTCCCGCTGCTGCACCCCTGCCCCCACCCCATCTGCGGCCGCACCTCAGACCTGAGCCCTCCTCCTCCGCGCCTGGACAGGTGGTGGCCCTCGGCCTGGTGTCTGGCGAGCACGCCTACCCGCAGAGCAGCTGGAATGTGCTGGACGGGCTGCTGGTCCTGGTGTCCCTGGTCGACATCATCGTGGCCTTGGCCTCCGCTGGTGGCGCCAAGATCCTGGGCATCCTGCGTGTGCTGCGCCTGCTGCGGACACTCCGGCCTCTGAGGTGGGCGGGGTGGGTGGGGGATGGGGCTGGCCAGGTGAGGGG